TTTTAAAAAAAATAAAAAATAAAAATAAAAATATTAATTATTAATTTATTAATTACATATTAAATTCATGTGTGTGTGTGTATAAAATTATATATAATTACTTATTTGTTCTATCGACACTATATAAGTTGTAGTGTTGTGTAGTTGGAGAGAAAAATGGCCCGGCATCCACAGGAAAATTTAAAGTGTCAGTACGACGTTTTCTTTGTGCGCCAGACTGAAAGGGTGCAGCATGAAAAGAGGAGGTTGTGAAAGGTGGCGGTTGTGATGGAGGTTGTTGTTGTTGTTGTTGTTGGCGACTATCCATCATTTTACGATCAACAGTTGGTGAATTTGCCCCGCTATTTGATGATGTAACAGTGCTTGGTGAACCGTTTTGTCTAGGTGTCGAAGGAGTTGGTGGTGCCGGAATTGGCATAAAACTGTTTTTTAAAATTAATTATTTAAATGAAATTAAATTAAAATTTTCGATTCTACAAATTATTTGTGTATAAATATACACATTATTTTTTTTTTTGTGAAATGTAAAATGTAAATAATAATTTAAACTACATTAACTAAATATATATATATATGCATGTTTATATGCGTGTTTTTTATATGCTGTGCTTCGTTTTTATGTGTTACATTACACACCGCAATAAGTAACGTTTACTTGCATAAATAATAAAATAAATAAAAAAATAATAATAATGTACAACAAAAATAATGGATCGCGTGTGTTAGAGAAAAAATAAAAAAAAGCAAAAAAAGCAACTATGATTTTTTAATTAAATTAATTAATTAATTAATTAATTAATTAAATTAACTAATTAAATTCTATATTTATTTATATACATATTACTATATATAAAAAAAAAATTTGAAAGGGAAAAAACAACTTACATTTGTGGATGCATTTGATTTTGTGGAGATTGTCCATCGTATTGAAATGATTGAATAAAATTTTCAGGCATTCCATTAATAGGTGGCGACATTGTTGGATGCTGATGATGCGGTGAATGTGGAATTTGTTGTTGCTGTTGTTGTTGCTGCTGTTGTTGTTGCTGTTGTTGTTGTTGTAATGACCACTTATTATCTTCTGCGATATTCATTTTTCAAAGAATATAAATTTTGAAATTTGAAAGTCCTTTTTCTTTTTACTATTTGATATTTAATATGTATATAGTAATGCGAATAGTAATAATAATAATGATATCAATTAGCAATGTCTTTCTTTCTTTTTTCTTTAGAGTTGAAAGATTCACACAAAGTTGTTGTGTATGTGTTTAAATGTGTGTGTAAGTGTGAGAGTGTGTGCGTGTGTGTGAGTGTGGTTTGATAGTGGTATTTATAAAAGAATATATATGTATAAATGGAATTATGATTATATTGTTAATATAATGGTTTCGTTAATCATTTAATTATTATTATATTATATATATAATAATAAATAAAATTCTTTTTAAAAAATAATCGAATTCTTTCTAAATTCTATTAAAAAAAAAAAAAAATAAACTCTATATAATTTATATATTTATAATAATTAATTAAATTAATATATAATATATGTGTATATATATGATAAAAAGAAGAAAAAGAAAAAAAAAAGAAAAACCAAGAAATTTATCCTAATTATTTATGAAATTTTAGGAATAGTAGTATTTTATTTTTGTAACAACAGAACGGAAGAAAAGGGAAAAAATATTTAAAATTGATGATAAAAGTCGTTCAATGTTACTCACCTTTTTTCAAAGGAACACAATTGACCTTTTTTGCTGGAAACAAATTCCTCTGAATCTTTTTTTTCGAGATTCAGTTTTTTGAAATTTAAATTTTCAATAAAAAAAACCGTTGAATAAAAAATTTCAAAATTTTTTAAATTGAGAAAAAAAATTTAAAAAATAAAAAAAGAAGAAAAAAAAATTTAACCGTAAAAAAAAACTTAACATTATTTATATATATATATAAATTATTATATATATATACAATTAACACTATAATTAATATATTAATTTATAATCCAATTTATTTTGATTAAAGGGAAAATTATATATATATAAGATTAAAATAAGCTATATATATAAATATGTAATCTGTAGTATAAATATTATTTCAATTGGTTAAAAAAACGCAAAAATAAAAACAAAAATAAAATTGAAAATAATAAACACTTTACCAATTTGAGCCTCTAATTGGTTGCTCAGACAATCCCCTAAATTTTAAAATCAAGTTTTTTTGTACAGGCGTTGCATGGATGTACAAAGGAATATCTAGAAAAATATTTTTTTTTTAAAACTTTAGATATTTTGACTAGCCTGTTCAATGCTTCGCCTATATAACTGATCTGCGTGATTTTTTTAATCTTATTATATATTTTTTTGTGAATGATAATTTAACAGCGTAAAGTTTGATTTCTAAACAATATATTTGTACCGATAATTATTATGTGCAATAATAATATTGCCTATTATTTATTTTAAAAATTGAGAAGTTAAAAAACATGAAAGTCCTGATAATTAATTTAATAATAGAAAATAACAATAATAAGCAAAATAAACAAATAATAATAATATTTAAATAATAAATAAAAATTAATTATTCATTCAATGCCAAAATTTAACTCGATTTTGCTTAATATTAAAAATTAAAGAAACCCAATCATTAGTTCACTAATGAAGAAAAAAAGGATAATTAATTGGTTATTAAAAAAACACTTCTTTTTTAATTTCTTTTTTCTTTAATTTTCTACATTTACAAATAAAGTATCTAGCATCATTACCTATTATCACTATTATTTATTATTATTTATTTTAATTGTTATACAACAATCAATAAATTCAATAATTATATATTGACAACAGTAACCCTATACTCTATTTTTAGTAGTGATAGTCTAACGTTCAAACAAAATGGAAATATAATTATAAATCATAATGAATATAATTCGGAGGCTGTGAATATTTTGGCAGAAAACCAGGTTTTAGCAAGTGAATGAGATAACTGGATTAATTCACTGCTAATTCATTATTTTTATATATGGAAATATAAATTATTCCTTTGGGAAAAATGAAAAGGTTTTTTTTAAAAAAAAAAAAAAAGTTTAATTTTTATTTCTAATTATTTATTATTATTTACTATTATTTATTATTTATTATTTGTCATTTGTCATTAGATAATCTATATTTATTTAGGATTTTTCTAAATAAACCAACATGCATTATCATTACACATACAAAAAGAAAATTGTTTCCTTTTATTCTTTATGCTGATAGAAAAAATGAATGATGGATGATGATGGAGACAAAATGTACAGTTTATACAGTTTTATTGATGATAATAAATAATATTTTTAAATAAATGAAAATTTTACAACTAGAGGGAATTTAAAAAAAAAATTGTACTGGTAATTTGTTTATAAATTTCAGGGAAAAATACAGCGGTAACAATAATAATAATAATAATAATAATAATAATAATAATAATTATTATTATTATTATTTATTAAAATGAATTAAGTTTT